GATGTTGTTCGCGAATATAAATGAGCCGAACACATTAGTGTTCAAGTTTGTTTATTTAAGAATCGAGTATTTAAAATATTGTTCAAGTTTGTTTGTTTAGTTAATTAAACGATCACAAACGAGCTTTAATCGAACCGAACAACGAGTAGCTCATCAAATGTTTGGTTCGCTTGCAGCCCTAAGTTAGAGCCTATTTGGCTCTAAAAATCATATCTCCATAGCATTCAATATGTGGCCAATTTACCTGCCAGCTGTTGGGGAAATCATTTTTCTTAACTGGTCATCATCACAGTTGAACAATTATGGACTCTATAATGAAGCTCATCAAGTCAGTTTCCAAAATCTACCTCAAACACTCAAAAAGTGAAAACTCAATATTTTGCTCCTTCAACGAGTCACTTCTCTACAGTTATAGATAAACTAGCCAGAAACTAACATACAATAATGAACCCGAATGAAATAGAGGATTTCGACTAGAGAATATTTATGGTCTGATATAATAAATCAAACAACTTGCCCAATAATTTTCACTGCATCTTAAGGATCATTTGTAACAACAGAAGTTGCATAGAATCAAAAAGAGAACAATAATTTGAAAACTTTTTATAAGCAAAACAATGGACTCAAAGGCAACTTCCATTCATGCAAATTACAATTACAAGAATCAAACTTCAGCAACAAGGCTCTTATATTATATTTTAGTCTTTCTTAGAAGCAAGAGAAAAAGAAAGAAAACGAATGACTTTTTAGGATGGTTCCCGACATTGGAATCGTTCTCACCACTCTTGCTCAGGATGATTTGTGATGAGTTTTCTAACACTCGACTTCTGTCAAAGATAATTGTTATCCGGTTTTGATATTTACATGCTAAAACATTAATTGAAAAAGCCATATTCTACCTCAAGTGTGAAATTTTCCATGGGTGGAGGGCCCTATCATTGGAGCCACCATAAACATAAGGGCTATTGAACTAGCCCCTGGGGTTTGACTAATGCCAACCATCAGTACAACCTAATTCCAAACCACCCAATTATATTTTAATCAAGGAAAGACTTAGACCAAATATCTCTATCAAAATCAATGAATAGCCATCCTGATCATTCATGTAAGGAGGAATAAAAGTGGAGACTCAGAGAAAGAGCTCTGGACTCTTAACTCTATATCTAGATGAGCCTGTAACTTATGGTAATATTCATTTTATGTTTAGGCTGTCTCTATAGCTGGATGAATTTTTCGCTTCATTTATAAAAAGGCTAAAATACCTAAAAGAAATTTATGCTCCATGTATGGGCAATCTTTCCAAATCTTATATACAAATCTTGTTAGTACAATCCTATGGAAAAGCTATGAAACTTAAGGGAATTTTAGCTCTAGGTCCGGACAATCTCCTTAGATTTCTACTGAAATAAGATTAGTATGGTAAATACTCTAATTTTTCAATCAATATCGCTCATTGCTGTGTGATTCCAAGTCAGAAAATACTAGTTAGCCCACCTCTTTCATCACTGAACATCAGATCCAAAGAAAGGAGATGTCATTGTGCGTGTCTACGCCATTCAAAGAAGTAACAAACCATACTTGTTTATCGCAAATGATGTTGATGCCCATTGCTTGTACACTGCTAGAAGACGCCTAGAAACAAAACTAAAGACGTCATTGCTTGTGCTTAAGCCACTCAAGGGAGCTATCATCCACATGAATATTGTTTTAAGACACTGTCAATCATACAATTGTTTGCATCTATCACGCTAGAAACTAACGTGTGTATAGCTACTAGTTCTCTAAATCTCACATCATCATTTAGATTGTGTTAGGCCAGTTCTCGCTGAACCGGCCTAGCCGGCCCTCTTGTTCTAGTCTACAAGAGGCGGGCGAAGCGCCTCTTGGAGTTCTCTTTGTGGTTTTGGGCTCTAGATTTATCGTCTAGAGATTGGGAGAGAACGATCCTCCTCTCGAATTGAGGATCAATTCTATCTTTGATTGTTCTTGGCTTGATTCCTATAATACAATCTTCTATTTTTGGACTATTTTCATTGGAGATCTTGAAGTTTTCTAGCTGTTTTCACCAATTATTGTTAGGTTTGCTTGCAAACTCAAGTATTTCCCATTAGGGTTACTTGCGAACTCAAGCATTTCCTATCAAATTGTCTATGTGGCAATATTGTAATTATATCTTACTAACCACACAAAGGTCGACCAACTTTGTACTTTTCAGTGTAACAAAGACATTAAGTACTCTCAAGGCGACTTGATGCCTAAGGCTAGAGGAGTTAGGTGCTTGCTTGAGTAAAGTGAGGCGCTAAAGTAATTTGTTTGAATTATGAGGAATATTTATAATCATATTTTATAATAATAAAATCATAAAATGAAATAGGCAAAAGGTTGAAAAAATATATTTTCAATTTTAGTGTGTTATTCCAAATAACAAAATGACAAAACTTTATCAAATAGATTATTTAAAACAAAGTGTCCACAAGTTCCAAAATTATTTTCATGTCAAAACAAACCAATAAGAACCCAAGTTGAAAATTTCTATAGTGCAAGATTAATCTAATCTTCTCTACTATTTATTTCATCTTCATCATCCATACTTTCTTCTCCATATTACACCTATAGCCCTCCATCTCATAGTATGGTTAAATATTGTTTAAAAATAATAATAAATTTACATCATAGAAGCGAGTATCTAGGCACAAGTCGCCGTTACCAAGGCACTTGCGACCTGGTTCATTTGCATGAATAGAAAGATAATAATGTGCATTGCTCTCATAAGAAAACTACATGAATACAAGTATTTGCATATTTATATATCAAGCTCTACAATTGAGGAATGTTTACAGAGGTAGAGTGGTATATCTCTATATTGGACCACAATGCATTGTTGGATCATAACTAAATACATGTCTACTTACTTGTGTAAAAGAAGAAGAACTCCACACAATATGAATGCACCGGCAATGAGAATCCATCCAATGAGAACCAAACTGCCAAAGCAAACCCTTAATCTTATGTGAATTCTCCATAAAATAATTTGGAATCAAAGCCAGATGATACAAAAAGATAAGCAGCCAACATAGAAGGAGAAAATTGGGTCAGGATATCCTGCTCAAAATTTGGTTCGGATGAATTATAAAACTATTATATTTGCTTTAAGATTAGTTCAAAACTATAATTAATTGATTATTCATAAAATACAACAATTTTAGAACTCAACATGAATGAATAAATTTTGATGAGGATGTCCTCGCCCAATTTTTTTCTCAAAATAAAGTGAATTAAAAATAATACCAGCTAGTTTGGGCAACTCATAAATCTTACCAGTAGACAAGGAATTGCAGTCCTAGTATGGAAAACACTGCCAAAAAGTGGAGAAAATTTAAGATCATTAATTTCTAAGCATATAAGAAAGCATAAAAGCTCTGCTCGTACAAAGTAAGCAAGCTTACAAAATCCAAGAAATACCAAAAGAAGCATGACAGCTGAACCAATTATCAAGTCTATTCTCCTGCAAAAAAGAAAAAAAAAAACAAATTACTTATATCTGAGAATGTAAGAAATGATAAAGAATTTCATATGTTATTTGAGTATTTTATATCAAAATGTAATGATTTATATCTAAATATAAAAAAATGATGAGCCAATTAGTTTAAAAAGATGCCAATTAGTTTCCAAATAAGTTGAATATGGATATATTTAGAGGAGAGATTATTACGTGTGGCATTCAGATTCGTTTGTAGGCAAATCCGGACGCGCCACGTCACCCGGATGCATCGGGCCCCCGGTGACATGGCTCGTCCGGATTCGTCTCCGAACGAATCCGGACCTCGCACGTAATAATTTTTCTATTTGTGGTGTGAATTGAAGGCGTGTCTCCTTACACAGATTTCAGAAAGTTATCAATGTTCTTCAAATTCAACGATGTCCTGGAAGAAAGCTCATCTGATGATATAGTAACTGCTTTCACTGTATCACCAATTTTAGCCTGCAGTTCAGCAGGAAGAAAAACCTGGTGCACACCAAGGCTCTTAGCGCCAGCCATATTTCTCGAGAAATTTTGGAGATTGTTCACCATATAATTTGACTGGCCCTTGATAAAATCCAGTGTAGTTATAGTACTATCATGGAATTTCCCTTGAATATTATACAAAACCATGCATCCAATGCTGCAGATGATTGGGAAGATGAAACAAAAAAAATTATCAATATATGTATGGGCAGACCCACCTTAAGGCCAGGGGGGCAATTGCCCGCCCTGAACAAATTAAAAAAAAAATATTATATGATTCTTTAGGTAATTTGTCCTCTCCAAATATTTTTTAGTCTTTATTACAAGAGTTTTTGCCCACCCTAAAAGTTTTAAAATACTATGATCTTTAGGCAATTACCCCAACATAATTAAATACATTGTGTAAAGATGTTATTGTTAGGAAACGATGAACCAAATTCAAAGAGAAATAGTAAAGAGAATCCAAAAATATCCTTAGATCCAAAATTTGATCCGGGGTGCTGCCCCTGGAAACCCCACAGGGGCGCTGCCCCTTGACCCCGGACCTACCCGGTCAGGTCGAACCCCGCCAGGGAGCGCTACCCCCTTTGACCTCCGACATATTTGCGAAGCATACAATGATGAACAAATAGGGGTCGAGAGGCAGCACCCTCGGAACAAATTTTTGTTGGATATGTGTCAGCTAACTTAAGCATGTCGAGAAAATTCTTCGAAGTAATTAAAATGTTGGAGATATGAAATTTACATTGCTGTGCATGTGAAAACAATAAGCATTAAGAGGGAAAACGCATAGAAATAGCGAGAATAGGAGTATCTTCTCTGTCTAAAGCAGCAAGAGCAGCAACAGATGAATAGCATGGCTGCTCCAAAGCCAACAAACCATGCAAGAGCCATGACAAAGATTGGAATTGCATTAAATGCAGCAGACTGTCAGAAGATTGAAAGGAATTAATGGAAGAAATATTAGCAGACAATAATATGAAGGGGGCAAAGAAGCTTACAGCCCAGTAATGCTCATCACTTATATTCCAACCACCTGTGTAGTAGTTGTACAGTTTTGTAGGGTCTTTCCTCTTTGTTCTCTCAGAAGCTAATATAATAGAGGTATTGTCCGTTGAAAGGCTATTAGATGAGTAAAGAGTTGATTGAAATAATCCATGATTTCCATCCTGCCATTCTAATAACATAACAAAATAAATTTAGTTTACGTAAATTAAAAAAAGGCAATGTTTTGCTCCCAAGTGAACATCCAAAATCACTGTAAGGAAAAAATTACTTTGGCTCCTTAAAGAGAGAAAACTGAGAATGGCCTGAAATAACTCATTTTTAAAGCTAAAAAGAGAAAAACATCTGCGAAACAAGGACAAAACCTTGTTTTTTATAATTCAAACGCAAAAACCATCTATGAACAAGCAAAAAAATCGCTTTTTTGGAGGAGACGACGCCATGGCATAGAGAAACACCTGATAAACTGGAGTGGTAGAGCGCAACAGCGGCATGAGAAGAGTGAACTGAGGAGAAGATGAAGAGAAAGAGCAGAATATGAAGGTTTTGAAGGAGACGACGCCATGGCATAGAGAAAGCCATTTCTTCACCGCTGAATAAGCAAAAATGCAGTATTTTCTGCAGTGAGTTTTCAGCAGAGACGAAGATGAAAAGACCCATTTGAGGGCTCTGCAGATCACGGGTGAGCGTTCTTCTCGGGTCCCCTTCAGTCCTTTGTCGCATATAGGTGAGCTGGGAAAGCTCGCATTGTTTTATAATTTTTGTCGCCGCGTTTAAACTTCTCCTTATCTGACCCCTCAGTTCTCTTTTAAGTAACGGCTATTTATTTATCTACACTATGTACTACTCATTACGAAAAAATAGCATTCGATATTGAAAAGGCCAAATTTCTTAAACAAATGGAATAAGAAAAAAAAAAACGCCTACACGGCATGTCGATTCCAAATACCTTAATGTTTTTTTCAAGTGAAGTAGCCATGGCTGTTGGGAGCCGAAATCTTCAATGTCGTGATGAGGTAAAGGCTAGTATGTTTTGGTTTTGATTTTTTGCTTAGAAATTCTTCCATTAACTCATCTTCCTTCTCTTCTTCATTTCTTCTCCACATACTTCCATTCTCTTAGCTAACTGCACTCCATTTCTCCATCTTCTCCATCTTCTCCATGTTTTTCTTCCATATTCAGCCATCACAGAAGATTTTGTTTAGGCTGTCTTTTTGTTTGCATTCGGGCTCGAAGCTGTGATTGTGGAGGATTACTTACAGGTATGCCTAGTTGCGTATTTATTTTTGATTTTTTTTCCTCTTACATTTCGTTTTTGTCCATATATTCTCTAGATATTGTATTAAATTCCTCTTATAAATTTAGAAACTTTTTTTCTGAAGAATTGCTGAAATTGAATCCGGAAGAAAAAAAGATAAAGCATTTTTTAGGGTGTTTAATTTTTGTCTGCTAGCATGTAAGAGGGGTAAATATTTTTCAGATAATTAAAAAGTCTGGAAGATCGGCTCATAAATATTATTTTATGTGATTCTTGTTAGAATAATTAAATATATTAATTATGCGAGACGTCGCAATAATTATTTAAGAATATATATTTAATTATATAAACTATTATGTGGCCCATATATTTGAATTATTACAATTTAATTATTTATGAAGAGTTAGAGAACTCTTGAAAGTCTTACAATTCTTGTAAAATTATAATTTCTTTTTAAATTTCAGTCGGTCTTTTTATTTATTTTGGTGATCACTAGTAAGGGTGTTTAGTCGAAATGACTTTTAAATACCCAGCAAAAACAGGATATTTTTTAAACTAGAGTTACAAAAAGAATTGAATCCAATTTTGCCTACAGTTGAGACAAAATATCAAGCTAGTGAAATATAGGTTTATGTAAATAAAGAATTAGTTATTTTTATGTACAAACCAAAATTTAGATTTTTATTGAATAAAAAAATTATCTATATGTTGAAAAATAATTATGTGATACAATAGAAGTCTTAAAACAACATTTTACATAATATCTGATAATTTGATACTTTTATAAAAATGTGTATTTTTATCTAGTACGTCTGTTGTCTACCGTTATACTACACTATGCAATTATAATACATGCTCAATTACTCCCTAACTGCTATAATGTAATGATTTATATGCATATGTGATTAAATGTTATTATTGGTGTCTATGGCACATATTAGCCTTAGTAGCAATAAAAAGCATCAATATTATAATTGATAGTGGGTGATGTTGAAGTCGATATTGGGCATAAATTTATTGGTGATGACAATCATCGATATTAATTGTGGACATCGACATTGCTATCATTAGCGAGCGTTGACCTTGTCAATGAAAATGGTGTTATTGGCAATGATGGACTTGTTATTTATAGTGGATATCATCATTAGTGTTGATAGTAGGCATAAGCTAAAAAATTTGATGATCATCATCACTCTTATCAATGATAATAAGCAATAATATCAATCTTAATGGTGGACATGAATATTGATATCGATGCTAGATGATAATGTCGGTGTAATTGTAGGTGTTAATATTGGTGTCAATGTCGATGTCGACATTATTAATGGTAATGGGCATCGATGCTAGTGTATTTAGTTGACATCAATGTTGGTATGGATGAAAATTATTGATATTAGTGTTAATAGTATGTATCAATGTTGGTGTTGATTGCCATCAACTTTGATGTTAAGGTAATCATTTTATTATGATAATTCCAATAACACAAAAAACTAATGAATTAAAGCTTGATTTAGCCTACAGTCAGACTAATTTATTTAGGATGACTTAAATGAATCTGAGGGACAAAGTAGCCCCCCACTTTCTTCTCCTTACACCCCACAAGTACACACACATAGGTGAAGGACACCTAATTGTTGTGGGACCAACCCCAAACATCGTTTGTTAAGGAGTGGCTTACCTCCAATCACAATTCACAATGAGTTTTACATAATTTCTCATTGCTTATACATTTATATTTAAATTTCCCAAAGTTACTATAATCTATAAAGGCCTATAATTCATGAGCTAGCTATTTATAAATGTGGGGTTTTATAAGGAGAAGTGTCATTTATATAAGGATGATTAGACAAATAGAAATGGTATTGGCAAGTGATTTTTCCCTCTTAAAAAGTTTTTATTTTTTTCTTTAGATGGTTTCATAAGGGCACAAGCACACCAAATTAATTTACCCTCCTGTAAGGAGAAGCACTTTCATTTACAATTAGTGGTGTTGACTCTAATATTTGTGTTCCTATAACTAATCTTTGTTGCTAGAGTATAAGTCATCGGCTCTTGTACTCTGTGGTATTTTGTTATGAGGATGACAACTCGCCTGATAAAAATTCATAGTTATGTCATCTCAAGGTTATGACCTAATCTTTTCATTCTAGATAAGTAGTAAGTCTGGTTTGGCTCAAGGATCATTATCAATAATCAAGGGCTACATCATCTAAGAAACCTCATAGATCAAGGGTGGAAGGTGACCAAATGACCTATTTCATATTACGATTGATAGAGAATTTTACACCCTATTATGGTCAAAACCTTGAATGTCTATTATTAGGTTACATACAAATCTTGTCCATAATCATACTTTAATGATGGTATCTTTTTTAGCTAACTGTTTGGTTAAAAAGTTTGAATCATAATCACATAAGAATGGTCACCTTTTTTGGTTGACCATGTGATTAGATGATATTATTCTTGTCCTTCTCAGCATATAATTTTGAAATGGGCTTATTTGTTAGCCTTTAGTATGGTATTGGTTAATTTATGGACTTATATCAATTTGAATTTGGCACTTCCAATCACTTTAGTGTGAAAGATAGAGTTTGTTCTGAACATAAGGGAGCGTTAATATATTTTAATTTTTAGGAGGATCTTTTTTATATTTTTTTAGTTTCACTCCCTCTTTCTATTTGTTATTATGTAATGGCACAATAGGGGACATGTTAGGCATTGTGGGAGGGGAGCATATAGAGAATCAATAGTTAGAAAAATTAGTATTGGTAATATTATAATAGTTGTTAAACTTTTGATATTGTCAAATTACGGAGAAGCGTAGATATTGGTGTATATCACACGTGATGTTGGTTATTATTAGTATTATTAGATTTATTATATTATCCTATTATACTAACTATATTATCATGTTCAAATTATTATGTTACCATTTTAGAGTTATTATATTACCTAGTAATATTCTCAAATATGCATAATATTTATTAAGAATCTATGATATTTATTATTATAGCATATCATCATTATTGAGTATATTATCTTTTATTACCTTCCTTATTGTTTTCTTATCTTGTCTTTAAATAGGCATGCTTGAATCAACATTAAAATCAATCATGTAAAGATGTAGCATTTATGATGTCTACAATTGTATCAAAGCCAAACTTAAAGTTTTTACAAGATTCATGTCGATTCTTATCTTGGTTTAGCTTGGGAAACATTAATTTTTCTTTGCTCTCAAATTATGCTAGTTAAGCGAACAATGACTCATCTTTGTCTCCTATTTGAAAGATTACAAGTGGATCTTGTGAAAACCTCGGGATTATCTCATAAGGATGCTACATCCCTTGATGATTTTATCACCTTTGATCTTGGCGATGGTTTTCCCAACTTCAATCACTTTGTTGCTCTCGATTTCCTTGAGTACGTCTTGTTCTAGTGTCAATTGGCATAGATTGATCATTTTAAAAAGTTGCTAAAAACTCTCAATTTTAATCTCTATATTCTTGATGCAATATATAAACTCTTCGATGCTCCATGTTGAAGCTTCGTGATTTTGTAAAGAGATGATAGAGTTCTTAGAATTATTATATTATATTATATTATTAAAACTATGATGTTACCATATTATAAATATCATATTACCATTTTAATACTATCATTTATGTTTGATATTTATTAGGAATCTATAGTATTTTGTATTGCATGTATCATCATGTTGATGGTATACTTTTTTATTGTATTTTTATTTTTGCTTTTTTCTCTTTCCTTTAAATATGCTTGCATGCTTTAGCATTATAATAAATCAATTAAAGATATTCAGCAATCATGTGCTTAAATTTTTTTGAACTCAAATCATTAATAACCTTAGGAGAAATATTAATTTTATAATAAATAATAAGATAGAGAATGATATATTTATTCCTTTTTAATGAGAATGCATATGATTTTAGATGTATTTTTATATTTTTTCATTAAAAACTTGTCTCATGATCTGTGATTATACTGAATAAAAAATATATTTGGAGAGTTATTTAATGACTAATATTAATTTGTACCCCATATAAAAAATTCTGTCCCTTATATAACAATTTGATTTAAAGAAAACAAATCTTATGTATTGTAGTTTAATATTTGTTGGATGTTTCCAAATGCTTCATCAATATTTTCGCCTGCTCAATTCTTACCTTATTCATCTAAACAAATTTGAATTTTTTTTCTTAACCAACTAAATCACTTCTTAATCCTTATAGGATATCAAACGTTAGCAATTGTGTTTCATTGAATTCAAATCTCTCAAGTTGTAATAGCGAATTCCATCAGTTAAATACTTTCCAAATTCAATCCAAAACGCTCTGTAATCTAAAACTGCACAAATCCATTTTGAGAGCAAGCAAAACTTGCAAGCAATTTATTTACAATGATAATTTCAATGTGAGCTATAAATAAAATTACTG